TAAAATGCGAGTAATATAACTTTCTTCCATGAAGTGGGATTTAGCGACAAACCAACCAGAAAACCTGAGGCATGATGACACTGTCAATGACCCCAAAGGAATCGAGTTTATGGTTCAAATACTGTGTAATGTGGGTGTTTAACCCTATTGAGAATGTTGGTCACGACTTACACTGGCTTCCCATTATCTGTGTTTTAACAGCTGGAATTTCTGCCTGAGTTATGTGGCTTAAATTTACAAGACATCACTGGCATTTACTGTGTGTGCTGTACTTTTTGTTTCGGTGTGATATGGAGACATTTTTCAATAGATCCTCCTGTGCTTGAGAGAAAGCAGGACATCTAGGTTACAAATGTTCACAGACACATGTGCTTTTGAGAAAAAAAAAATGTTTGTAAAGAATAAATGGCATATCTTCCCGGGAGAATTTTCCCTTTAGGCCTTGAGGAAAGTCCTCAGAACTCAGCAAGCCTATTGTAAGTTATTTTCCATAGGTGTGAGTCCCTGTATGTCAGGTGTTAAATACCAGTTAAACAAAATGAGAATTTCCCATCTGTAGGATGTCAAAAGTACATGAGAGCATTACAAATACTAAAAAACAAATAATCACCTATTATATTAGCTATTTCTAATGATTAGAGAAAAAGTTAAATACACAAGGCTCATATACATCTGTCAACAATGAAAACAAAACAAAGATGCAGTTTTGGTACATAAATGTCTAGAATAAATAACCATACTATGCACTTTTTTTATTATTATTCTTTTTAATCCTCACCCGAGGATATTTTTCCATTGATTTTTAGGAAAAGTAGAAGACAGAGGGAAAGACAGGGAAAAACATTGATGTGAGAGAAACACATTGATTGGTTGCCTCCTACACAAGCTCCAACCAGGGCCTGGGCAGAGGAGGAGCCTGCAACAAAGGTACATGCCCTTGACTGGAATCAAACCCAGGACCCTTCTGTTTGCAGGCCGACACTCTATCCACTGATCCAAACTGGCTAGGGCCATAATATGCGCTTTAATTCTTAATTGAATAGCTGTTTAATAATCTGTATCACAATTAAATTTTGAATATGATTTGCTTCTTTTTTATTGTCTAAAGTTTTACATATGTCTCCTTTTTCTTTACCATTTGTTTTTTATTTCACTTTTTTATGGCAAGCAATAAAAACATTTATTTAAAAAAATCTGAAACATGTCATAAACACTGAATAAACAAAGAGGGGACAAGTACAAAAAGGGGATAAGGTTGTTAGTAATCGTTTTGCATTTTAACTTCTTTTGTTTTCACATTTTTTCTCTAAAAATAATACACTTTATTTTTTAATGCTTTAAAATTTAGAAAGCACTCTTGATGAGTCCCACCATCCAGTCAAAACTCAGTAGCACAATCTGAGAGACTTCCTTTAAAAGTTCAATACATGATAATACCCACAGCACTTTAACTACATTGTCCCTTTGGGAAAAGTGAATTCAATCTTCCCATGCTCGACAACACTAACTCCTACTTAATGAGAAAATGATGTTGAAAAATTATTTTACAGATATTCTCCAAGACTCCTCCAGGCACAACTTCTCTCATGGACTATGCTACGTATCTTTGCTGCATTACCCCCCATGGCATTGTGATTACATTCATATGAATAAGTCAACAAACACTGAAGAAGCCTATATGTGCTAAGTATCCAGTCAATAGTGAATTAAAGAAGCATGATCCATACGACTTAATTTAAACCCCATAAAAATGAAGCAAAGAAGCCTCTCTAACTGCTAGTTTAACAAATAGCGAAGTCAAAATGAACAGGTCACTGAAAATAATTTATAGCAGTCTAAGTTTTTTCTTTAATCAATCTGTTAACTATACTTCAATATCTAGTAACTAAATTTTAAGAATTGAATTAGACAAATACGTTATTTCCATGGCAGAAATAAAATTAGGTCTTTGATACTATTTTCTCTTAAACTGGTAAAAGGTCAAAGGAAGAAAAAGAAGGACAATGAGAACAGGAATAGTAATAAGAATCAGAGTAAGGGTCAGGATGTTTTACAAAGAGAGCTAATCCAAAATGGAGATAAGAGAGGTGCAGATTTGATCTTAGTTAAATGCCAGAACTAACCTCTTTTAACCTCAATTTCATGAGTTATAACAAAGAAGAAATAATATTTTTATGCTGGTATCTCCTATGACTATTGTGAGAGTCATAGAAAGAAAGGAAGATTAAAGGCCATTGAAAAACTACAAGAACTAGAAAATTTGAATATAAGACATAACCATATATGAAAAGAAAACTGATCTTTTAAAAATCCAGGGATTTGAAATTGGGTTTCACATAAAACCCAATGGTGCATAACATTGATTTCATTCAACATTTTGTTTTTGTTGTTCCACAATTAACTTTAAAATCTTGCTCTATATTATAAGAAGCCAATATGGTATAAGAGTGTACATTAATATGGATAGAATTTCAAAGAACTATGGATAAATGGTGGATTATTCAATAAATGGGTGTTTGGACAACTGGAGTGCCATCTGTAAAAAAAAGTTTGTTACCTCGTGTCCTCTAGCCCTGTAAACAAATTTCAGATCAATCAACAATTTAAACATAAGAAATAGGATTATACGAGGAATAGAAAAAGGTATAAAAGTTTTATATATACTCCTGGGGAAAAAGGCCTTTTAAAATCATAAATAAAATCCAGAAGACATAAAATAAAGAGTGATAAATATTATGACAAAATTTTAAAGAGAAAAATAGTACAGGGAAAAACAAAATTTTTTTTCCACTCAAATAAAAACCAAGGCTTTCTTTTTTGCTTACTTTATAATGAACTCATACAAATCAATGAAGGACAACAAAATAAAATTTTTAAATGTTGTAAGGCCATAGATGTATAAAGTGAGATAGAAATATCTTTTCATTCTAGAAAGCTATCAAAACTATTAGGGTTATATCACAAAGGCTAAGATGTCAACTTGAAGAAATATCTACTTTCCAAGGATGAGACAATTTCTTAATCACTAAGAATAATAACTGAAAGGGATCAAAATAACCCTAAACAAGCCCAAGAATATAAACAGCTAATGCTGGCAATATTATTTAGAAATATCCTTTAAGGCCATATTAGAAAATATCATATTATAATAAATATCTGGTTCTACGATTAAGATATATATTTTAATTATTTGAAAGATGAGCACACCCAATCTTCTTATAATTATAGCATGGCTACTGATTTGATTCATTTACCTTATAATCATCGGTGTTTGATTTTGTAAAAAGTCAAGTTTAATGTGATAGAAAATTCATCACATATAGTCAATCCCTTTCTGGACTACCTAGTTATTCCAACTTTAAATTTACAACTCATAGTGAGACTAAAGCGACATTTCATAACAAATTACTCAAGTTGCTTACTTGGAATCTCTTTACATAAATGATACACTATTCAAAGCAGAAGTATGTGAAAGAAGGCTGACAAAAATAAAGTTGTGCAGTAATTGGCATCACAGTCTAGATTTCATAATTTCAGTTCCTGGTCAATAAAATGCCAAAAATTTTAGTGAATATAACTATGTACGCCTATTTTTTGAACAGTTGTGAACATGCTATCAAGTACAGATATTTTAGGGTGAATTTGTAGAACAAAAAGCGGTAGTAGTAAACACTTGTTCAATGTAAACTTCTGATTTCCTATATATACTGTATGATAAAATAACTGGCACAGCATGACCAATAAGCAGTTGAATTGAACTGTTCCTGTTTCGTAGATAAAATATATG